ATAATTAAACAAAACATATAAAATTATAAATTTAAACTAAATACAATTTTAAACGCCAGTAGCATGTTTGTCTATCTTCTTAATTTATATTTATTATTAAGAATCTATCTATTTAATATAATCTGTCTTAATGTTATAACACAGTATATTGATGGATGAATATTATAAATATAATATACTCCAATAAATACATACATGTATAACCACTAATAAGTGTGAAGTGAATAATCGTCATAAAAATGTTAAAAATTTTACCAGTGACAGTTGCAGCGCTCTGATAAATTTCAATTTATGCTATTTTTTATTGCCACACATATTCAATTATAATTGTTGAATGTTCAACTAGGTTCCTACTTTCAATGGCATTGTTGACCGCGCGAGCCGTGTATTGTTGAGCTGACGTGTGTATAGGTACAGTACAGTTGGTACAGTATAGTTATAAAAAAATATATATAGTTAAAAATATCCGTATTTTATAACCGAATTTCTGAATATAATGTGAAATATACGAAAATAATTGATACATGTCTATTACAGACAAAAAGCCAATATTTTAAAACAGATTCGCTTTGCTCATTGTAATCAATTAACAAAGAACACAGAATAATTATTTCATGTCGTTTCTATATAAACTACGTATTTGCTTAATTTATTAATTATATATTTTAGTATTAAATTAATTTTGAAATAGAGCGCGACTGGGATTTCGCTCTATTGGGAGAGTGGACATAAATTACTAATTGCAACTTTCCAAATTGCATGCACATTTATTCAACCAAATAGACTATATTCTGCTAGTAATTAGTAACATAATATAATAATAACTGTTAGTAAATATTAAGCGCGTTATTTACATATCAAACTACCCCTAGTTATACATTTTATTTTTATATTTTATTTACAAAAAGGAAGGTATTATATTATAACACACAAATATATTTAACTAGCGTCCCCTCCCGGCTTCACACAGATGCATTACATATCTTTGAATTTCTCAGCTTGCTCTGTCACTGTCTAACACGCAAATACATATAAACCTGATAGAAAAGACAGCGGATGCGATTTCATTCTATACTATGTAAAGAAACGTCTTTTTATCAACACTTGTACAAGAAAGAGGAGATATGGTATTCAAAGTAATTACATTTTTTATTTAAATGAAGGGTTATTATTGCGTTGATTCGGAGTTAATTTTGCACAATTAATATTATGCCGACAGTTAATATTAGGTATGATAAACATTTGGTAAAACAAATTCTTAACTTATTGAATGGTACTAGGGTTCATGATTTCTCGAGCTTTTCACTTTCTCGGGTCTCGAGAATTCTCGAGGTCAATTTCTCGGGTCTTCTCGGGTTGTCGAGAAATTTACATTTACGTACGTTTGGTTTATTTTTTGTTCCAATAACGTCAAAAAACTCAGTGGTTTCATTTGAGACGAAAACCACTGCATTTTTTGTTAAATATTAATTATAAAATTTAACTATAAAATTAATTATAAAACTTTTATTGAGTAGGTATATTTAAAAACATTATACTTATTATGAAGAAGCCATTTTTTTTAAAATACTGAAATATATTAGGTTCTTAAATATGAAATTAGCGTTTTGTCGTACTGGCCACTTTGATCTTAAATATCTCCTCTTTGGTTAGAAATTTCAATTTCAAATTTATACGGCTATTCACTCATGCATTTGTTTTTCGAAAACCGTAATACATGTGCTTGGTTTTTTCTTTGGGTCACTCAGCTTACAAAATGGAAAACTTAAAATATCGCGACAATATACATGAAAGAAAACCTTAATATCATGTATTATTGTGCCGCCACGCAAAACAACAAACGTCAATTTAATTTCTATATAGGTACTTGATTTCTCGAGTTCTCGACTTTTCTCGAGCTTGATTTCCCGGGAACAGAACCCAAGGATTTCCCGGGAATTCTCGACCCGAGAATTCCCGGGAATGATCCCTAAATGGTACAAACAGTATTTTAAATATATATATAATTAACAATAAATACGTACTGCTAATTATCACCGTGTAGTTTTCTTCTCGCTATTATTATTATTTATAGACAATAACAATAATTATGTACCTATTCGAATTTTGTGCGCATATCGTAAGTAGGTCGAATATTGTTTAAAAATATCATATGTAACGTTTATTTAAAACGGTCTACACACAACACTAAAATCAAATGCGTAGTGGGGGTAATATCGGTTGACGGGCACACTGATTTGAAATCAGCCCCTTTTCATTACACACGAGCACAGATAAGAGAATGATTTAGATAATAACCCCTACTAAATTTCCCTATACCTACACATATCCCTATATAGTGTATATGGACAAATGCCTCTTTACTTGAACAGATCTATGGCGTTCTCCACCATTTCTCCAATATTACCCCTAAAAATAAAGTGTATACCATTTTATAGTTTTAAGTCTCCAGTTTGGCAAGTGAACTTACTTACTTACGTAATTCAATACTCATTATCGAAGGAAGTAAATATATTTTACATCTTCAAGTTTCGAGGGAAAGTTGCGTAATAGTACAGTGGTATCGTATTCACATTGTGGTTTTATGAAAGGAATAATTCGCAATAACTGTAAGAATTTATTATTATATATTAAATTATCATTTAATGCAATTAATTATAGGCAATTAACATGAATACTCATAGATAAATAAATTATATTATCTAGGTATGACCATTCGTACATGATTTCATTCATTCATTTATCTCTATCTCGATGTCATAACGGGTATATTTAAAAAAACAGTCAGTCAGTAGTAATAAAATTTGTAAATATACATATATTATACATTTTGACCTAGTTGTGTTGGCATACGTAAGTGATATAATCGTCTAAAAATTTTTATTTAGCTTTATTCTTAACAACATTCCGTATAATATCGCTGTTAATTTAAAAAAAATTAAATAATGTGATGGATTATTGGTAATTTCATGCAGTTTAAGGGATCAGAACATCAAATGAAGAACCTTATCAAAATGAAGATGATTCTACAAAGCGATACTACACCAACAGGAAACTACTTTCGCTATGTCCGTCGAAATTAATACCTAATGATAAACAGTTTAAACTATTTCCGTTTAACTAATAACATTTGATTTATTTTTATGACCGATGGCACATCTCACCCTAATTATATAGGTAATAACTATCGATCGCTAAATAAGGAGGAAACCCAGACTAAAGTTGAGAAGGAAAAAACTCTAGTAGGTATTGGAGAATGAATAGTATAAGAATGTACTTATAATTAGAGGAAAATTTTACAAGAATTATAATGATGAACATTTTCCTCCACGTTGAAGAGAGAACGTTGAGGTAACCAGATAGGTTACTTTTGTAATTTTAAGAATTTTGAAGTATTAAGTTCGATGGTTTAAAGTAACAAAGTTATAAAACTAGAGAATACAAAGACCTGTGTTAATATTTAAAGCAGCAAGTTCCTATTACAAATGGTTATTAGTAATCATATACATAGGTATATTGGTTTGAACATTGTTAAGTACAAATTTGGTATGACGTAAAACAATATTTTGTTACGGCCCTACAAATGGTAACTACATCGGTACTGCAATATTGGTATTTTATATAACTAATCCTGGTATCTGCGGTTTTACCTATATCTACTACCACATAAGTATGTTGTTTTTTTGGTTCGAAAAGTAGGTAGGTATATAAATAATATATCTCGAATATATTTCAATATAAATAATATTAATACCATTAATTCGTCGTCGGAATTAACTTAACTTGTGATTCTATTCTATTCTAAAACTAGCTTGGCTTTGCAGGGGTATCCATATATTATAAACCTTTCTCTTGTATCACTCTATCTATTGCTAAAACTGCGTTTAAATCCGTTGTGTATAGTAGAACAAAAGATCTAAGGGAACAGACATCGGAAGCGACTTCATTTACACTAAATATACTATAATGAGTGGTGTAAAATAGTGTGCAGAAAAATAAAACAATAATATAAATGCGGATCGCACGAGAACGTACAGAATTTAAAAAATAAAATGTTAAAAAAGTTTCATTCTTTAGTTTTGTTGGACTTGAAAATATAAATCGACCACAGAGATTGTCAGAGGTTTCTGACATTATCAAAGGTTTAGATTATAAACGTATACTTTAACAACGATGCCAAGAATGTAGGATAATTATTTTTTAGTAGCAAGTGAATGTGACCACACCGTGCCTTATGGTAAGGGGCCACAATTTGATTAGATCTCGCGCAGGTCTCTCCGTTCAGCTTGCCATATTCTATCATGATAACCGCGAGTTTGTATAATATTTGGTATATACAACTATATACTGTTGTATTAGTACATAAATAAATATAAAAAGTACGAAAATATTATATACCCATATTGTTTTCGTGTGTTAGAATATCAAAATATAAACAAATAATAAATTAAGCTACAAATAATAAATAGATATGCGACATAATTGTGATTAGTACCTACATTTAATACTTTATTAGTATACGTATCTATGTAAATTTTACTGTACAACTTACTTACGCACGTAGCAGTTAATTGTTTTACTTTCTTTATTATTGTCGTAATTAACTTTGTTATTGAAGCAAAGTATCTGTACCATCTGTTTATTGACCTATTTTATGAATAGAAAATGTACTTCATTCATACCGAACTTCTTATAAAACGGATTGATACAGGTTGAATTAAAATATTCAATACATTTAAATGGTTTTTTTAACTTGTTTTAGATATAGATTGTAATAGTTTTTAGAGCTTTAACGTTATATCCGTTATTAAATTACGACCTATTGTAACATAAAAAAAAATGTTACGCTTTACTTACTTTAAAAAATAATTCTTTCGCTTTTGCAAATTAAATACAATACAAATGCTCAAATTATTTTTATAACATAGCAGTCACGAAATTACTAAAGATCGCACCAAAAAAAACAATACAATGTGTCTTGTGAGTAAAGATATACCAACCGAAGACGTTTTGGTCCTCATCTCGGAGAAATCCCTCGTGTGTTTTGAACTTACACTATTAATAATAAATTTGTTATTAATATTTAGAAATGGAATGCGCGCGCGCCTCGAATACGTCAGTCGAGAGTGAGCGCAACTGAGCGACTCGATTCACTCGATCAAATCAATCGCTCCAACTCGCACGACTCGACAATTGCGGCTCGTGCTCTTGCGCATGTTATACATCATACAGTGATGGTGGACGATAACTCGAATCTTAATTATCATATAATACGCGATCATGATAAACCATGAGAGTGCAATGCCCTATGCAGCACTCTCCGTATTTACACATTATTCGTTATTATACTTTTTTCCTCTCAAAAATTACTAGATTGGTATACTTTTTGGCAAAGCCCCGGCTCAAATATACATAGGTATCTACAGTTTACACTAGTAGGTATACTCCAATGGTATAATAATATAACCTGTGTTGCCATTGCCACTGTCTTGCTTTTCCCACAAATTTTTATTGAACATTCCCCAAATTTCAGGTCTTGAACCAGAAGAAACAAGTATTATTCTTTTATATTCAATTACTTTAATTCTTATTTTTTTTAATAAGCAAGAATCCCAAGACTTACGTTTTTTTTGTGCGTCCCACAACAAACATTCCCACACCGTATCGCCATAAAACCCCGCGAATATGCAAGAATTCTCTCAATTCATATATCACGTATATGAATAGAACCAGGTAGATATTTTTACTGTGAGCCTACTCCGAATATTCGGAATCGGACATTCTGATTGATTGGATGATACGAAACTGAACTTTACTCGTTTAGGTAAATATGAATTGAGCCAAATATTGCCTTAATTGAGTTCAACCAAGTAACTTTCAACAAACTAAATTGGGGATTCAATCAAAGTTGGTTCACAGTAAAGCGAATTACTAACACATCAAACGGCAGAACTGAATGAAACTCCATTGCACCTATCGACAAAATTAAATCATACTTAATAAAATAGGTATAGGTAAATTAGGTAACTTTCAGCAGAATCTTTGAGTTTATAAACCCAAGTATCTGCGTCATACCTGCCTGGTATTTATATGGACTTAATGAGGGTATTAAAATTGAACATAATTTTTAAAAATAAAATACTTTCATATTTAATCCAAATTGTTTTATATTTGCACCCTTCACATTGCATTTCTTAATAAATCGATTGTACTTAACGAAGTAATTCGATTCTGGTGCGCCGCCAGCGTAAACCGTTAGCGCAAGCAGGGTAAACAATACCATTATCATCCACTAAAAATTGCCCACTATATAACCTACTTCATATTTAGTTTCATAAATTTACTTTACGAAGGTCTGTATGATGTATAGTAGCAAATAGGTGTTTAAACTGGATATTGCCTAAGCAACTGAATTTCTCTTCATATCTAGTTTGTTTAAACTTTATAGATAAGATTTGAATGAGCACGTAAATTTAATTTTGGACTTTTAAATGAAGATAACATTAATACTACATCTTATTTCTATGAACAATGGTTATAAAATTATATATAAACCTTATTGATTTACTAAAAATCATCTATTAATAAAATTGTATTATTTAAATGAGATAATAATAAACCTTGTAGTTCATTAATTATGCCATTCATTTATGTATATTGCTATAATCTACATAAATTAAAATTAATAAAAAAAAATCTTACTTAGAAATTTTTACGTTACTTTAAAAATAATAAAAGAAAATAAAACATTCGTATTGAAAATTTTGTTTCAAATCAAAGAATAAAGTGGATTAGTTCATAACATTTATTTAGAAGTGAAGAAAATTACTCAGAAATAAAAGGACCATAATGTGTGCTAAAATAAAGACATACTCTGTCAGAAGTATAGGAATACAGGTATAAATATTCCTGAACAATATCTACTCCTCGTATATAAAGTACATAGTTATATGAAAATTATCACTTTCTCCTTTTGTACGACTATGTTCGATTGCATGTGACACCTGTCTTTCACTTTTCCTCAGACGTTACAGAGAATGTGACATATATTAACTAAAATCTTACTTGAATCATAGTAGTGACGGTCATTTAACTGATTATTACACTTCCATAATTGAATCCTATATTCGCCTTTCAGTACGATACCAATGGTGTACTTAAATATATATTATAACATATACCTAATTATATCATACCGTATTACTAACAAAATATGAAATCAGGACACAAATAGTGGGAACATAGTCAATGCGTTTTATACAGTAATAATAATGCAACAGTCTAGCATTATTTTTTTTATGTCTTACTTAATAAAAACTTTACTTAACAATAAACGCGAAAGTTTGCGAATATCGATAGATATTTGTTACTGTTTCACGTAAAAACTACTGAACGGAGTTTGATGAAACTTTAAAGTAATATAACTCATAGATCAGAATAACATATATGTTATTCTATAGCCTATAGGCTAGAAATGTCATGCGTGTGAAACTGCGGGAACAGCTAGTTCCTAATTTAATAAGATCAATACCTATACCTTGTTTTTACTTTTATCCATAAGTCCACTCGTTTCGGTATCTTTTTCATCTTGGGATTGCATGATACTAATTTCACTGCACTATGCACTATTGTACTATTCATATATTACAATACACTGTGACACTAACTAAATAACACTTTATGGTGCACGTTCTGAAAGGTTTGATAACGCGATAGGCAGTGATAACTACATTTACACATACATAGGTACCTTGAGAGAAAATTATTTATTATTTGAGATCTCTACACACAATACACTGCATAGGCGAAAATTTTGTTACGAAGTACTTTATTCCAATATGTTGCAATTGATTCCACGTAAGTAGATAGAAGTACCTATGTGTTTAAAAAAAATGTAAAGTGAAGTATAAGATGAAAATTATGGTAAAAAAATCTATGAATTAAACACTAGTTCACGTGGAATTATAAAACTGATAACTTCACTTCTATTACACTTTATTTTAACACTTTGTTACTGAAGGCTGACCGATACGAACGCGTGTAATGTAAATTGTATTCAACCATCGGAGTTAGCTAGCAAACAATAAACAGATATTGTAAATCTGTAGTAGTCTCGAAAAATTTACAGCTTCGTAATTGACCTAACTGTCAGGTAGAAAACATGCCAATCATGGTTAGACACCATTAATAGTAAAAAATGTGGAGAATGACGTAATCTCTATTTATACTTATACATAGTAGGTACGTAGGCATGAAATAGATTCGCACATAGGTCACGTGCATTGAAAGTTATATAACTTTAGTATGGCGGACTCTAGTGTCGTTAGAAGGCATTCAATTATGAGACACTATAGTTTTTAATAGACAACCTCTTGCCTGATGACATAAAAGTATAATACACTTATGAATTATATCTTATATCTACATACAGTAACATTATAATTTGTACAGCGTGACAATTAATTTGCGCCGAAATATTTAACGTAGATTTAACGACTTTTTTATCGTATCTCGCGATATGAAATATCGTTTTTATATATAAGTAGTACTGTACGACAAAAACGTCTGAACTTTGCCAGTGCGTATTCTGTAGACATAAGTAAAATGTAAATAAAATAAAAAAGTAGCAGGCATGGAACTTGACATCCGGCGAAGGTGTTCGATATATTTTTTATGATTTATTATTTAGATTAATATATATTCTTTACTTATTTTTTTTTTTTATAAAAAAAAACACATTATTATTGAATAAAACGCTCTTACCAGTATAAACCTATATATACGATTGTGTTAGTCAAACAAGCAACCACTGGAAAATAAAGCACTACGTTATACCGCTATATCATCAAAGTCCAATACATATTAATCTGTACTAATTATTATAACTGAGAAAATATGACTGACTGTTTGTTATATTTTCTTGACTCCATTATTAATAATGTTACGTCGACGACAGACCGACCTCTACGTGGACGCTCTACGACTCCTCACGCTCATCCATTATACAATTACTATAGATTCCCAGCTTTTTCAGAAATTATTTTCATCGTAGTAATCTTGTGTGATAAACGTACGTGTTATGTGATGTTCATACAATCGTATATTTAATTGTTACTTAATTCGAAACGAGGAAATTCGACGATGGACCAAACTGCATAACTTAACTCTCCAAGACTGTCAGCTGAAGTGACAGTGGTCATATCAGGGCATATCAATACAGTCAGCAATGGTCTGATATCATTAGACTCTTTCTAAGAAAGGAAGGAACATGCAGCCTTAAGTAAACACAGAGAACGTTTACTCTCTTATTCATTATTTAGTTGCTTCCCCGCGATAAAAGTAAATGTTATGAGAATTAAATGTCAGAAATTTTGTTGTGAAAAGATAACAAACAGAAACACTTTCAGAATCTCTCGGTAGTCTAGCGGTATAGGTATTCGTCTGGGTGTTTTTACGTGTATTATGTATGTATTTACAGAAAATACATATACATATAAGTATTTATATCAGTTGTCTAGTATCCATAACACAAGCTCTGCTTACGTGGGACTAGATTGCGCTGTGAATATTTACTGTGTTTATTTTTTTTATGTGTATGTTGAGGATGCAAATAAAATAATTATATATCTATCTATATCGTAATAAACCATGTCGCATTATAATCTTTACATAGTAGAAAAAAAGACGCTAAAGTGTTCCCTTAGCTCTTTCAATCTACGTAATGCAGATGTTAGCAATAGGTAGATTGAAAGGTTTATATATATAATACATGTACACTCGCGCGAAGCCGGGGCTTGTAGATAGTATTAGGATGAAGTATATAACTACCTAGCTAAGGCTATCTACTTTTCCAACAAGATTGTCTGAACGATAAGATGTACATATCTACCTCTTACATATTCCCAGAATCTCAGTTCAACAAATTAGGTAATGCACACAATCTAACTTCGAGATGCAGACACATATATGTACTTAGGTATTTATTCTTTTTACCACTAGGATTTTCAGTATCACTAATAATTAAGCTTTTCAGGCTTTCGGTAGTTCCTCTTATCAGAAGTAGCCAGTGGAACTAATAAAATACTGAATTACCTATATTTGTCTGTCTATTACGTTTTTACAACTAAACGGCTGCATTAATCTGTATTTATAATCTCAAACAAGACAGACATACTCGCTCATAATATCTAGTGAATTTATAAACAATAAAATTTACTTATAGCTATATAAATTTGCCTACATAATACAAATTCGGACATTAGCTCAAATCTACGTTAGTCTCAGTAGGATAAACCCACTGCTGTCTTCAGTGATTCTTCTATAT